CTGCCTCTGCAAACCGTCTTCCACTTCTGCCCGACAAAGTGCGGCCGCCTCTCAAACACAAGCAGTGCCGGGGCTCCCCTTGCCCGGTGTTGCTTTCTCCTGGGTGTCTCTTGCTGCCTCGTGGGCTTCAGCTTTAGCAGCAGCTGACGAGTAGATCTATGCTGTCCATCTGGTGCAGCCTCAGTTTTGCTGCTAGGAGCTGGCTTGGCTGCTTAGATACACCGTAAGATCATGTCAGAGCACCAGGATGGGGAAAACCAAATAGTTCCTGGCAGAAAGCCGTGGAAGGGAGGGCCACTTTGTGCATCACACAGGGGCTGGGTACACTAAGTGCAGTAGGTCCTGCACTAGTTTTCCTGGCAGGCCAAAAAAAGCCCTTATGCCCCAGGGGATACCATGCCTCAGCAACACCCTGTAAAGCCCGGAGTCTGTCAGCCCCCATAGCAGTTACCACTGTTTCGCACTTGTTAGTGCATTTAGCTACACTTCTCCATGGCAACCACGCAGATCCCAGCTTGGCTTGCCACCAGCCAGGAGCGGGGTGTGCAGGGTGCGTTGCACGCACTGCCGTGAGTCGTGTCGGTACATGCACAGGCTGGGCGCTGACTCCCCGCCTGCTCTCCCGAGGCAGGGACCCACTGTGCTGTCATGGCTCGATGTTGTTGGCGGGGCGCCTGGAGCTGCACAGGGAGCTGGGTGCTCTCTTCCCCACAGGTATGGATGCTTCTGTATGGTTTGCTGGAGCTGAAGAATGGACACAGCCCCTTCCACAGGGCTCTAGATGTTGTCCTCTCACCCTAAATTTCTGCTGGTTTTGATTGCTGAGACAGGTTTTGACTTGTTTTTTTATTTTTTATTTTTTTGTCATCCCAGTCCCTCCAGTCTTTCAGGTGACTGCCATGACCAGCTCTTCTCTGCTGACATCCCCAGCAGAGCTGCCTCACTCTTCTTTGAGTTCAGCTACTTGTGTTTTCCCTTTTTCTGCCAGCCACAGAAAGCAGCATGCATTGCATGCACAGAGTCTCATCCGCCCTCCACAGTGGGGCTTCTGCTTATCCCCAGATACTCACAGCTTTTCCTGTAAGAGTTTTGGTTCATTCTTCTGGGCCTGGCTTGACTTTGGTTTGTATGTTTCTCCAGTGTCTGCACACAGATCTGGTTCCCTTATCTCAGAAAAAGTTAAAAGAGAATGGAAGAAGGTTTGGAGGCAGGCAGTTAAAGATGCTTAGAGGTGTGGGAACAGACTGTACAGTGAACAAGTGTGTAGGCTGGGACTCTTCAGCTTGGAAGAAGGACATAGGGTGGAGGAAGAGATCTATAAAATCATGAGTGGCCCAGAGAGGATGGGGAGGATCAACTGTTTGCTGTGTCTTCTGACACAAACCTGTCAACGGCATTTGCCTTGACTGGAGCCTCAAAAGAATGTGAAATCACTGTGCTGCAGATGTTATGTCCAAAGGTTTAGCTCTGGTATGCTTCTTGCAACATGGGGGCTAAGTTCATGGCAAGCCTGTGAGAGGCATGCTTAAGTGAGTGCTGCCTCAAGAAACATTTTGTAATCATGTTTTCACATGGAGAGCTCAGCCATGGCCAAGTGGAGCTTTACCAAACTGTTCAACACAAAAATATTCAGAGCTGGGAGGAGAACGAGCTGGACAAATCCCAGCCCACAGTCAGTCCTCCAGGAGGTTGTATCTCATAGGAACCCTCTTGTAAGGCAAAAACTTGTGACCGAGACTCTGATTTTGCTGCTGCACTGCCAGCTTCACAGCAGCCTGCGAGGGTGAGTGACGTGGCCTTCTGTGCTGGCTGTCCTGTTCTAGAGGAATGCCTTCCTCTGACTGCCCTCGAAAAGTAAAGGGAATTGAGATGGTTCTGCATTTTCTAGGACCACAAGAGGGCAACATCAGAGCGCCCTACAGCCAGCAGGCTCAGCAAAGCGACCGGTTGGGATGCTGGTGGCGTGGGCAGCTCTGTGCGAGCTGAGCATCACCCTGTCCAAGGACTGCCCAGCTGAATTACCCAATTGAGGGCTGCGCCCTGAGAGCCCTTTTCTTGCTCTCAGCTTCACACAGATCCTCAGAGGTGAGTGGTTAGCTCAGCCAGCTGAGCTGGTGCCATGGCTGGGGGCAGCAGTATCTTCCTGCATATGGGTTGGACAGGTGGTGACAGCAGACCCTTCTGCATGCTGCATGGGGCCAGGCTGTGGGATAAAGGGTGGCCTCCCTCATTCTGCCTGCTTATCCACCAGGAAATCTTTTTGGGTGAATGTGCACTGACACGTGGCTTCAAACAGGAGGGTCCAGGATCTGGGGTGATGCTGCTGGGCTTGCCAGGGAACAAGGAGTTAAACCACACAGGATTTTGAAGATCTCAGCCTCACCATCTTTTTTTCACTTCCATCACAAAAAGATAGAACATTACAGAATCTGAATTCTCATGTGAATATGGAACTGGACAGTGTCTCCAGCACACAATGGCTTCTGCAGACCAAAATCCCTAACAGCCAAGGTTAAGTGCATTACCGTTCCTGGCACTTTTTTGCAATAGCCTGTACAAATACGCTGTGAGAGACAGTTTGCTCTGTCTTTCCAATAACAGGCATGACAGAGAAACAGCTTCTGTTAGCAGGCAGAGCTACAAGAGCGTGTGTGCTGCTAGGGCTGAAAATGCCACTAGCATCTTGTAGCAGACACAGAGGAGGAGGTGACGGTGAGGAATGGAGTGCAGGGTATTACGTATTCAGTAGGGTGGTATATGCTGCTCACAAGAGATGAAGAGATGTTTGCAAAAGAGGAGGAGCAATTGGATGTCTAGAGGATGCTTTGTGTTCAGGCTTGAGACACGGAGAGAGCCAGTGCAATGGAGGGCTGCATGGGGGAGATGAGGATAACCAGCCAAATACATGGGGCACATGGGTAGGACTGTTTATCCCTCTGGTGTTATTTATTTTCTATGAAGAATGCTAGAAAGGTTTTATCTGATTAAGCTATTTTCCCCATGGAAATAATCAGCTTTATACTACTCTTGCTTCCACTCGAAACCTGCCCACACAGCTTAAGCAGCATTGTAAGGCCCAGCCTGTAGTACCCCACCTCACTGATCATGTCTACCCTAACCCAATTACAACTCACTGGCATCATGCATGACACTTTTCTGTTGCATATTGAGAGGACCAAGGTTCAGGGTGTTTGTCTCAAAGGAACATCAAATCACCTGTCTTTCACTTCTAGTTATCAGCAGTTGTCAGGCCTTACCTAGTTGCTCCTGTACTCAGACTAACAGTCTGTGTCCGCTAGAGCAGACCCTTTAGCGAGCTATCTGGTTTGGGTCTGAACATGAGATAAGATAAAGAGCTGGGATAATCCTTGGCTTTTGCCAGCATTTCATCCTGTCTGACTACAAATAATTCAAACCAGCTACTAGAAAGTCCCATCTGCACATCAAGATAAATATCAGCCAGATGGTGACCTTGGTCCACTACCTCCCAGTGATGCATTTATACTAGTGGTGTTGCCAACCAGCAATAGCTGTGCTATGTGTGGGACAAACTCTGTTCAGAGCTGGTCACATCACTGACTGCTTTAAAACGGACCTCCCCCTAACTATAGGGTCTACAGGCTACAAGCATCCTTACCTGAGGGAGAAGCATGGCACTGGCACCCAGAGTGCTAGTGCCAGCATTCACATGCCCAGCCTGTGAGTGCAGCAGTCAAAGACCAGGGCCTGGATTCATTCCCTCTGGTATGCACTAATGTCTGGGCATCTCATATGGGCTGTAGCAACTAAGTCCAGGAGTGAAGGGAGCAGAGCTCTTTGACATGGAGTGAGTGATGGAAAAGAGCTCAGAGCATAGGGAACCGCAGTGCAGGCACATTTTGTTGTGAATGACTTCACGATTTGCTCAGGGATTAAATACTTCCTCGTTTAATAACCTAATAGTTTGGGCTAGTTTCATGCTGGACTGTTGGAAAGTTCACTGGCTGGAGTCATCAGCCAGGCCTTGTATAAATGGCTTCCCCAGTTCTCAGCCAAGTGAGCTGTCCTCATCTTTGGGTCCCCCGGCGGGTGGCTCTTGGCACTACCTTCTTCTGAAGGGCTTTGTTGTTCATGCGTGTTCCTGAATTTTTACGCTCCGGGAGCTTCCTCACCACATCTTGTTTGAGCTGGAAATGTACCTGAAGAGAGAACAAAACTGTGTAACACTGTGTGTGTGCTCTGCTGGCTCAGGGCTCTGTAGGACCTGCCTCCGCCGCTAGCCTTCAAAGCTGACTCTTGGGCCAAGACAAGCAATAAGGGGCCTCAAATGGTGTTACGATACAATGGGAACTCAGTTCTTAAATCAGCTGGAAACATTTTTTCTCCCATGGAAAATGTACTAACAATCAGCTACATTTCTTATGCAGAGAGATGCTCCTGTGGCAATGTGATGTCGTAGGATTGTTTGGAAGATGAGCTGTGAAAGGCAAGAGACTGAGCTATGCTCTTTCTTCATCTTTTCTCACCAGAGAGTAGAGAAATAGCATTGCTTTGCATCTCTGTGAATATTTAATAGACAGGATGGTTTAGCCCTTTTTCAGTTGCATCTCGTTAGCTGAATCCTGCTTAATCAGTCTTTCAGCAAACAGTGTTTCCAGTAGATCTAAGCAAAAAAATTCCAGGAAAGAAACCTTCATCCATTACAGCCATGCAAGCAGGTACAGGAGGGAGAAGGGGATAAGGAGCATGCAGGACACAGCATGAGATAAACGTGGAATGGGGAGGCCACACAGAAAAGTAAAACTGGAATGGGCCTGTATGGGCTTCCTGGGGGAGGAATGGGGTGAACAGTGGGTAGAGGAGGTGCTGCAGGGGCAGAGGGAAATGGGGACAAAGGAGCTGCTGTGAGGGAAGCTCTGCAAAAATCAGACAGTCAGGGAACAAACCAGTCTTCTACAATAACATGGTGAAAGGAAAATCTGTTTAAAGAGGAAAGCCAAAGAGCTGGGTGCTTAACCTAGCAAAACAAAGGCTAGGACTGGGCTTGACAGCTCTCTATAAATACATCAGGGAATAAATACCAAGGAAGAAGAGGAACTATTTAAAGCACAACATTGGCATAGGAACAAATAGGGATAAACTGACCATAAATAAATTTAGGACAAAAATTAGAAGGTTTCTAGTCCTGATAAAAGGGCAGCTCTGGAAGAGCTTCAGAGGCTGGGTAGGGTGGGATGAAGAGACTGAGGGTGACCACCACAGTGTATTTACAGCAGAGCCTGACTAGTGTATGTACAGTGAAGCAAATGATGTGCCAGGATGCCATAGCCTGGGGCTCTTGTTAGCCCTTAGAAGAGGCTGTATTTGTGGTGCCACCACATTCACAAGGCAACAGCAGGGGCAAGAATCACCACCCACTGTTTTAATAACCGATTTCTAGTCGTCCAGTCTGCCTTCAGAAAGGCACTTTGGGGGCCACACTGGTGTCAAAAGCATTTCTTCTCCCAAAGGTGCTTGGCTGTTCTTTCTTTGCAGCAGGTTCCCATCTGTCTTGGCTGCTCTTGGCAGAAAGAAAGGCAGATTTCAGCCTCTTGCTACCAGTCTGGTAACGTATTTTGTCCCAGGCAGGATGGAGATGACAGCAGAGTACTGAAACCCACAAAGCCAGGGGGATAACAGAGCCTAAAGGAACAGATGCTGCCCCCAAATCATTGTGTCCTGAAGAGTGCAGAGGACAGAGGAACAGCTGAAGAGCAGCATCCCCAGACAGCCAGGGCTTTCCCCAGGCCCAAGAGGCAGAGGAACACAGGAGCTGGCACAGCAGCCCAGTGCAGTTGTGAACTCTCAGTGAGGAACTGAGAAGCACACAGCATTGCCTTCACCCTATCCCTCTCTGTGAGCTGTGGGGAGCCCTGTATTGGCCAAAGCAGACTTCCATATAGCCACTGGAAATGCTCTACATCCCATCTCCTTTCTCTGCTGCTCACTAGACATCATCTGCTGCATTTCTTTCTCCCTGGAGTGAAGACATTTTGGGATATCCTCATGACTATGCATTCTGACTCACCAGTGAAGGTGCAGCTGGGCCCACAGTTGTTGTAATTGTCTGGGGCTGGTACCCCTCTGCAGAGGCTGTGACAGTGTAAGTGCCAGGCAGCAGCAGCCGGAAATAATCCCCCATATTACCTGGAACACAAGGTGGGAAGAGAAAGCACTCAAGATGCACAAGGAGTAGTGCAAAAAGTAGTCCAGTAGGTCTTGCCAAGTATACTTCCTTGAGGATGCGTAGCCTTCAAAACCCAGGAAATTTTTTGCCTGACTTCCAAATCGGCTGGCTACCGCAAGGCTGGATTCACACTGGTAGACTGCAAGTGATGTCTCATTAGTGCCAAGGAGCAGAGGTCAGTCTACATGTAAAAACCAAACAATAGGGGATGGTACAGCAGCATTGGCTGTGCCTGTGCAGGGAGGCTACAAATCTGAGCGCTCACCAGTCAGCTGACAGCAGACCTAAGGGCAATCACAGCTCCAGTCTGACGTAACACAATCTCTAATTCCTGTCATATACATTTTTGCCACATTTGGATTATCAGCAGGGTTTTAAATGCTCATCAGCTCAGCTACTCCCTGATTCTCCCTGCATAAGGACCTCCCAGGAGCACTTTGACAGGCTGTGTACTGGTGTAGTTAGGGACAGGGGACATTCAACCATGAGGCAGCAGCACATTGTGAATTACTTTGACAATTTGAGTATATTCCCATCTATGGAAATTGATGGATTTTGCTAATTTGAGTAATCATTACAGGCAGCCTGTGTTATTTTGGCTTAGGTGAGGCTAACTGGTATGACTGAGACACGAGTCAGGAGCTTCCAAGGGAAAACAGGGAGGGTGGCTGGCAGGTCAAATGGATTAATTTTCTCCCTCTATTCAGTCCCAGGGAGGCTGCACTTGGGAACTGGGTCCAGTTTTGGTGCCCCCAGGTCAAGAGGGATGTGGGAGAACTAGAGCTCCTGACCCATGGGGAGAGCTCAGGCCCCACAAGGAGAGCTGGGGGAGCCAGGCTCAGCCTGGTTGGGAGAAGGCGCAGGGGATCTGCTCACAGCCGGCAGCTACTTGAAGGTGCTGGGGCCAAAATCCTCTGAGCAGAGTCACGGAACACACGGAGGGCAGCAACCACAGATGGCAGCTTGGGAGCTTCAGGGTGAATCAGGGAGCACAGCTTTAATGTGAAGGTGGTGCATCCCTGGCAGAAGACAGCAGAGAGGCTGTGAGACCTCCATCCTTGGAGATCAGTGAGAATCGGTTGCAGGGAGCAGTGGCTGATCAGAGCCAACGCTGGAGAAAACCCTTCTCCAAGCAGGAGGTTGGACTGGAGACCCCAGAGGGCTCTTATAGCCAGCACTTCTGTGATTCTGTGATCTCTTGCACTCTCCCCGTTCCTATGCAGCTGGCATAATATGTGCCAAATATTAGTGTTACAGAGTTACAGACCTATAGCCAGGAGTTTTGATGATTTCATAGTCTGATCTCTAAAGAGCTGGAATATTGGCTATTTTCTGTAGCCAGTCTGTAATGTCTGGTCCAGTTGGAGAAGGGTATTTATGAAAAGGAGGTTAAAATAGGCCAGCAAAGGAGAAACCACTACAACTTGGATAAACTCAAGTGGCACTTCATTCTCAGTCTAAATTTGTCTGGCTTGAACTTTCAGTCTTTCATCTTGTTCTGCTATCATGCCCTTTGCTATCAGCTATTTAGCTCTGTGTAGATAAATGCTTGAGTAGATTATTCCTTCAATCTTCTCTTTGGTTATATACAAATGCATTTGCTCCTCTCTCTCAGATAAAATAAGATCTTACTTTCTGAAGCCCTTTACAATAAGGTTTACATTTTAGTTCTCACCTCTTTCTTTCCTGAGCTTTCCTAAGCCCTTGCTGGTTCAGAATGCACAGGCACATTTCTCATAGCTCGTGTCTTTGGGAGCATGCTGGCCACATGTACAGCTTTGCCTGCTAACATCCTCCCATGTACCCAGGTAGCCTCCAAAAAGCTGTGTCCAAAAGGGAGAGCATGCAAGGGGACCAGCAACCCACCAGAGGTGATGTCATGGCTGATTCCCTGAACAGAAATCACTGCTCCTGCAATGCCGTTGTTGTTCTCGTCTGACACCATCCCTTTGATGCCCTGGTGAACCTGCAGGGAGGGAGACAGACTGCTGGGTCAAGGACCCTCCTTTGCTCAAGAGGTATTGCCGAGCACTGTAGGAGGGCAGAGCTCTGGGGACAACCCTACCTTTACCCATACCCTTGGCTCTCCTGGTTTTCTGCAGCAAAGCCGGTCTATCACACAACAGCCTCCACAAAGGCCACCAACAGGAGCACCCAGCAAGCTCCATGGCCACTTCCCTTCCACCCCTAGTGTCTACTTGTCTCCTACCATCAGGGCCCATGGAGGCCTGCAGGACAAAGGTGCAGGTGTCTCTGGAGTACTCCATTACCTCTTCAATGAAAGCAACAAGGGCTTCCCTATTAGCCATCCACTGCCGCTCCAGGTCCTCCTCAGGGGGGAACTTATTGCAGCTCAGCTCCAGGGTGATTTCAAAGCAGTTGGTGTAGAGGTAATTGAAGTCCTGCATGCCTGGAAGAGAACAGCCTGTGTGCCAGGGGAATGCAAGGCCCCCTTCCTTCTCTGCTCCTGTGTCCCAGGTATCCTGGCCCCTGTCTGTCTTCAGCCACAATTGTCCAGCTCTCCCTCTTCACTCCGGAGGTGCAGCCTCCTTCCTCCATAACAGTGTACCTAGAGCCTTCTGCTTCATTCATCCAGCAGTACACAGTAGGTCTCTGCAGCCCTCAGCTATTCCTGTACAATCTACCCAAGCCATACCCTGGCCTGAGATGCAGACACCAGAATGGTGTCTAGTAAATGGGCACAGTGTTATCACCATAGCCCCTCCCCAACCCATCTGTAGGGTCCTGAGGTTTCTCATCTATCCCTTCACCACTCTTCAGCTCAGCATCTTGCTGTGTGTGGTGCTCAGCTGCTCAGCCCTTACCTTTGCTGAGTGAGTACCAGGATGCCCCATTCGTGATGCCATCGGCAAAGTAGTCCCCACAGTTCCATCCACGGTGCATCCAGCCATGGGCATAGGAGTAGGTCTTGGCCAGCTAGAGAGAAAGCAGCCATGGTCACCTCTCCAGCCCCATGTGGCTGGCGATCCTGCCTGGCTCTGGGCAAAATATCCTTCCTCCTGAACAGGCTTTGCTGGGGAGTGTCAGAGGGAAATCAGGCAGGAGACAGCTCCTGCATTTTACTGCCGTGAAATACAACATGAGGTGGCCAGGACCTCTACAAAATGTAGGCAGATGAAGGTGGAGGAGGAAGAACAGAAATCTGGTGAGCTGGAGGCTTGTTGATGGCACAGACAGCTTCTGCCCTACTCCCACTGAGACAAGGGGGAGTGAAGGGCACTGGGCCCACGCAGGGGCACTCAGCTGGCCCCCACACAGCAAATGGCACTAACAAGGGGAGAAGATATGCAAGGAAAACTATCCAGTATTAGTGCTGATGCAAATACCATATATATCAGGGGAATTTGGATTAGGAAATAGTTTGGGCAACTTCTGGTTCTAGCAACTGCTTGTTTATTGCCCTTATTAAGATTGCTGCTTATTTTTAGACATTAAGGCAGGGCTAAAATAAGGGCACTGCATCCAAAGCTTGTCCTTTGTGTAAGAGAGAGAGTGGTGTTTGCATTTTCTAATGCAAACTCTGTATCTTTGTATTATGGTTCAGATGCTGGCATAATCTTGTTCTGTCAGCAGGACAGCAGTTACTTCACTATATTTCTGACTTCTGAGAATATGTGGGTATCATTAGCCTACGCCCCAGACTGCAGCCTCTTCACATCTGGGTCTGAGTGCAGCCCTGATCCCAGCAGGTCCTGGCAAGCCCCTCTACAGCCTGTGCTTCCAGAGAAGGCTGAACTCCAGCTCAGACTTATTTTTCTCATTAACTGTTCTAATGCAGACTTGCTTTTTCTTGAGCCGGCATTTCCTAATGGAAGTGGTGACTGAAGACACTGTTTTCTGGGACATTTTAACAATGGATAAAAACCACAGGCTTCAGCTAGCGCTAGCAGGATCAGCAACATGGACCCATACATTCCCTGATGTCTGCCTATGCTCTTGGTGCTTTTTTTCTTTCTGCTTCTTATTCTTCACCATCTGCAAACCTGTGCTGGGCACCCACCTCCCTTATCCTGCTCTCAGCAGACCCCCAGCCAGACCCTGCCACTGCTTTAGGAAAAAAAACCCCAAATATATGCATGCTATGATGGTGTAGCAAAGCTGGGAGCAGGCTTCAGCTCTGGAAGAGTGGGGTGGCACTGGTGGTACTGTGGTTATGGGTAACCCCAGCCTGGCACAGACGAAGAAAAGGGCTCCCGAGGGTTAGGACTGGCTTGTTCATGTGGTGGGACCTGCTCATGGTCGAACTGCCCTGACATGGCTCATAAGCTGGTGGCTGGCAGAAATGCTGTAGTATGCAAATGGTTATTTCCAACACTCTTCTTGGCTCAGCTCCTGCCTCAGGTAGTGACCAGACTCCCAGCCAGCTCTTGCATGTTGCACCCTGGCAGGGCTGCAGGACTGCTCACACCCACGGGGGCCATGCTCACCTTCTGAAACAACTTATCATCAGGGGTAGGAGTGTTGACCGTGCGCCGGTGGCTCCTGAACCTCTGGTCCTGAGACTTGTCATAGGGGTAATTAGCCACCACTGCTCCACCGTGCAGATTGGCCGACAGTACAAAGTTGTAGCTGCTGATCCACTGGATCACAGCCAGCGTCTCTGGCTCCACCTGTGAGCAGAAGAGGGATGGGGACAAGGAGAAGAGCTCAGCCACCTCTGGGCCAGCTGCTGCTCCACACCGGGCTGTGGCGTGATCAGTCACATCAGACCCTGCCCTGCAATGTGCCTGCTTCAGCCCTTGCAGTTTCCTGTGTTCTCCACCAGCTGCCCTGATATGCAGAGCAGGCTTCTTCTGTGCATACCCTGTTACAGCTCTCCCAGCACAGCACCAAAACCTGAGGCACAGGCATTAGCCAGCAAGTGCCACTTTCTCTGCCCTCTGCATTTCAGCCTTCTCCCCAAGCTGGCCATGGTGTCAACCTCTCCTGGCAGAAGTGTGAGCTGGGACAAGGGACAGGATTACATCATTTCTCTGCATGCAGAAGGAGACAAGCACTGTGCAAGCCAAAGGACAGTGTATTTGCTTGCATGCTGAGCCCCTCTAAGAGGATGCTGTGACCCTCACAACATCCCAGATTAGTACCTGGCTTTTCCAGTTGTCAGGCAGAGGGATATGGTGATTTGGCCCGCTGATTTCCCCACTGTAGTACATGAACGTGTTGAGGTCGGGAAAGTTGCGATTCAAGTCCACTCCGTTGGCGTTGTTCCTCCCTGTCAAGTATCCATTGCTGTCTGGGCCCTGCGGGGCAGAGGTGCATCACGGGGGTGAGTACAGGGTGGGCAGAGGCAGACTGTGTGTCAGGACAGTGGGGACTGGCCATTGAAATGGTGCATCAGTGCCTTTGAGTTTTAACACGCATGTTATTGCTGGCAGAAGAATAAAGAGCATTGGTGCTGACAGAGAAAGTCAGTAATAGTATCTCTGTTTTCCAGGGTGACAGAGCAAGGCACAAGCCAATAAACAATTTCAACTTGCTTCAGCTGAAAGAGCCATGAATAAAATACCTCCATGAGGTCTAGCAGTAACAAAACAATGGGTGAGCCTTTGGAAGGAGGGCTAGAGGGCTTCCCCCCGTCCCATCCCTCATGTCTCTGCCTGATCATGACAGCGGCATTCAGCTGCCACTTCCCCAATCTGGGGCAGGGGATTCACAGTGACCTTCCCGTGACAACGAACTTCTGAGGAGAGTAAGTCAGATGTAGAAAGCCTCCTCCATCACTTGCCAGGGCCACCTGTGGCAGGACTCACAGCCCTTGCCATGGGTGGTGAGAAGCAGTGACACTGGCTGGGTAGGACACGTTTGGCAGGGCATGGAGAGGAAGGATGCCCACTCCCCATAGCCACAGTGAAGGAGACCCCGCAGGGATTTGAAGGGCTTTCTGCCCCTACCCGGCAGGAGGAGGTGATCGCTGCCTGGTACCTGCTTGGCAGCCACTTCGTACCCGTCGGGATTCATGGAGGGCATGATGTGGATGCGCGTGTCGTGGATGAGACGGGTGATCCGCTCGTTGCCCCGGCGGTACTCCTCACACAGGAACTCTGAGAGCTGCAGCAGCAGCTCACGGCCCAGCACCTCGTTCCCATGCATGTTCCCAACATACTTGAACTCTGGTTCCACTGGAGACAGCAAGAGAGTGACACCATCAGCCAGGACTGGGAGGGGGAAAGAGCCAATTCCTACTGCAGGGAGCACAGGCAAGCCCAAGGGATCCCCAGTAAATGTTGTGAAATGGCCCTTTCCCTTGGAAAACGCAACCCTCTGTGAGGGAGAGTGGCACAGTGCCCACATGGGCTCCCTTCCATTTTGCCCCAGCTCAGGCTTTCCACCAGGTTGCTCCTTGCTTTTGGAGAGCACAAAAGGATGTATTTGCAGGTGGTTTGGTTGCAGGCTGGGGAGAGGCAGCACATAGGGACCAGGGAGCACGGGCAGGATTGCTGCTGCTCTGAGGTGCCTCTCCCAGCTCTGCAGTGGGTGGCGGTGGAGGGGACATCTCTTCCACCTCTGCCCTTCACAGTTTGCTCTCAGTGCTTCTCACCTACATGGCACATTCCTTACTTTGCATGTTTTAAGGAGCTTTTTATTACCCTGCAGGATAAAATCAATCTCTGGCTTGGGGTAAGCCATGCTTTTTCATTGGAACTTGCCTCTGGCTGTGGCTGCCAGCCCTGACTCTTGTGCTAGTTGGAGGCAGCAGGCATTTCCCCTCTCCCTCCCCTCTCCCTGCCTCCAGGAAAAAGGCTTAGGGGCTTCCTCACCCTCAAGACACAGGGACAAGAGCCTGGAGAAACCCTCAGCAGCTGGGTTGAATCAAACTGTCCCTCAGGCAGCTCCAGTATGAACAGAAAGGTCTCTTGCCGCTGTCTTTTCTAAAATGAGGTCTCAAAATACAGACTTGGAGACCACAGGCAGGCAGTGCCTGCTGCTCTGCTGAAAGAGAGGCAATACACATGAGGGATGGGTTATGCTTTCCCAAGGGGTCTTTTAAAGCAGTTACTTGTATGAAAAGAAAATGTCCCATTGCAGGCTGGAGTCACCACTGGTAGGATGAAAGAGACACGGGGAATTCAGTTAGAAAGGGAGCCTGACTTTCACATGAAAGGGTCAGGAAAAAATAGGGTGTTGTTATAAATGTCAGCTTGCCAGAGCTTGAGACTCCCATTGTACTGTGAGTTTTTTGGCCACCGTCAGCAATCAGACTCACAGTGACAGTGTGCAGCCTTGCTACCACACATGGTGTCTATCAGGATCCATGGGGCAAAAGGCACCACAGCCCCATGTCAGACGTTTGCTGCTTCCAAAATCCCCTGCACCTTTGCTGCGTGGGGAGGAGACACTACATCCAGATATGTTGAAGATAGACTCTATTCTAATTTTGGCAAAAGATTTTGCTTTTCCATATCTTTTGATCGCTGTGCTTCAGCGCAGGACACCACAGGTGGGCAGCATGTTTTGACCTGGTTAAATTTCAGGGACATGAGAACTGATTTAATTAGGTAACCTAATTATAAAAGCTATAAAAATGTCCTGGGGATATGTGCAGCTTTTACTTAAAAAAATAAAGTCTCAGCAGGGATTCTTCTCTGCTTTGTTCAAGTCTGCAGCAGGACTTGTCAGCCTTTTTCAGTATGCAGACCACTAAACATTATCCTTGTGGACACAAAAGCCCAAATTACCACACATAAGCCCACTGACTCTAGGCTTCCTTTTCTGTGGCCTTCAAGGGAATCCACAGTTTCCCAAAGTCCTCATGCTACAAGCTGAAAGTGCCGGCCTGAGGGTGGCCCAGGCTCTGAGTGGGACCACAGCTCCATGCTGCCCACCTGGGGCAGGGGAGACCTTGGTCCCCTCCTGCCGCACTTCCAGCTGCCCTCCTGTAGATCTGCAAGTCTAAAATCCAGTGGTGCACTGCCAGTGCCCTTTGCTCACTCCTTGCTTTGAATCAGCCCCTGATGCACTGTGGAGGTGCCCAAAGTGTCCTCAGTGCCATGCATGGAACAGGGCTGGTGCAGGGGTGGTCAGGGTGGGAAGCCTCCCATCCCACCTACCAGCACCCCTGAAGGTGATACTCTGTGTTGTGTGAGGGGAGCAGGGTGACCTAGTGCAGTGTGTCTTTGGGCAAGCTGCTGCCAAGCATGGGATGCTGAGGGGTTTGGGGGGGCTGCTCTGCTGAGGGGGACCGAGGTACAGGTCCTTCTCACGCCAGGAGTGCTGCTGGCAGTTTTCCACATGACATGGCTGCCTGGACTTGTCAGCCCCTGCTTTTAACCACACCAGCCAGGATATGAAAAGGCAAAGGATCCTGCAAAAAGTAGGCAGAGCCCCGTCTGCATCTGCAGCCCAGGGGCACAAGGTGGGGAAGCGCAGGAGCCCTGTGTGCAGAGCCCCATCCCAGAGAGCCGGCTGGTCCCCTCGGGTCCCCCAGGGGCACCTGGCTGCCAGCAATGTCTGGCTCGGTGGTGTCTCCATGATGCACAGGCAGCAGCCCGAGGGGCCATTGCTGCCAAGGCTCCGCAGGGCCACGTGGCAGCAGGAGAGCAGCCTGTCACAGAGGCTGCACACCCTGCAGGGCTGGTGGGGCTGCAGGAACCCAGCGCCCACTCTGCTGTGGTCCCTCAACCGACGCCCCTGGCTTTGGGGTCTGGAAGAGGAAAGGCTGAACTCTTCCCTCCTGCCACTATTCAGCAGTGAAGGATGAGGGGTGGATGCTGCCTCCCCTGCCCACACAGCCCTGTTTTGGGAGGGAGAGGATGGCAGGGCAGGTGGAGTGCTGGGGTGGACTTGTCCGGGTTCTCACATTAACTTGAGCTGAAAAACCAGAGCTCCGTCCAAAGTACACGCCTGGGCCACGCTGCAGCTCACGCAACCATGGTGCATGTGTGTGGGCTTTTCATGCTTGTCCCTGGAGTGGCTGGGGGTCGCTGCTGGAGCTGGCACTGCCTGACACCCGGGCATTGCCAGGAGTCCTGACTCGAAAGGGAAATACCCCCAACAGTGCTGCATGGCAGGAGCATGGCAATGAAGCCCAGTCTCTCCAAACCACCATCCCCGTCCCCCCGTACTTACAGGGCTCGTGGATGCCCGGGTAGTCGCTGAA